CATCATGATTGGAAAGGTGATGGATCAGGAAAAGAGAGGAAGACACTAAACAAAATGGATTGACAGAGTGATTGTAGCAGTGTGCTTCATGTATCAGGGATGGTGAGGCTGGTACAAGATAGGGCAGGGTTCCGAGCTATTGTTCATAGGGTTGGTATCAATTGAAGTTGACTTGACAGCACCTCTAACAACAACAATAGATTTCAAAGACCAGTAGTTACGTAAAAGTTGGTTTTATGTGAAAATAAAGGTGCTTCAACACATCAGAAAATGAAGGATGACTGCGGCATTACATGACTACCAAATTACATCATTGCACAACTATTATACCACAAAGAATCATGGTTGTGACATAATGAGTTATTGTTCAAAACTATTTTCCTAAGCCATTGCATTTGACTTTACCACATGGCTGGGTGGGAGTATGCAAACAAGGTTATAAGTAACTGATGATGGGTTTGGTCCATTTTGCCATTGTGCCAGGTTTGAACTGGGCAGGTTTAGCAGCAGCAAAGAGGAATTTCAATACAAGCAAAAAAGAAACAGCACAGAAGGCAATACACATTTGGAGTCACAAAGATTCCTGTGCTAGATGAAGCATGAAGCAGCAGTAGAGAGCCAGAGACCTATGGGAGACAGCTGAACTAAGACTGCTATCCCATAGAGTTAGGGATCCTCACCCAGGCTTACTGGAGGACTGGGGAGAAGACACTAAAATTGTGAGGGCTGAGAGAGCTTTATAACACTGAAGGTCAAAGGGGCTGCAAGCATGGCTGCGAAGCTGTCTTGACTAAAGAAATGTATCTTGTTGACTACCTGAATGATAACTTGCTGACTTCCCCTATAAACCCCATAGTTGTAAGTACAGTTCTTGTTGAGTCTGTGTGACCACTGCACAATGGCTTATCAGATCTAGTGAGATCCCTAGGAGGGACAGTTTGTGTTAGAATTGGTAGAAGTAGGTTCAGGGGAGTGGGGGCATTTCTGGCCTCATAAGTTATGTTGTGGATGTTCCCTTTAGGGAAATGATGGAGGCCAAATGTGGCTGCCCTCACACTGGCCCCACTCTTTTTACAAAACCAGGGCAAGTTGAGCATAATCTTTAACCATCACAATTAGCATTACTTTCGCCTCCCTCCCAAGAGTACATTATTTTCACACATGCATTGTTAATGTGAAAAATAGTCAAATGCACTTTTTTTACTTTTATCCTAAGTAGAAAATGTTAGGTTACAAGACAGTAGATAGGTGAGGAGTTGGTGTAATCAGCCCCATGGTTGGTTTTGTGAGGGCCGATCAGTTCATGCTACAAGTAGTGTCTAGTAACAGTTCCTATTATCCTGCATCGCAATCATACTTGGTGTCACTGACGAAGACCAGAGACTATGAATACACGGTATCTTCACATAAAGAAAAATAAAAATCATTACAACTGGATACAGTAAGCAAACCCATAAGTGGAGAAAACACTGAAGTTATCAAAGAGCTCATTTTACTTGGCGCCACTATTGATTAACATGCGTGGAAGAAATGGCAAAAATAGTGGCCTGTATTTGGCAAATTGCCAACACCACCCCCCAAACAATTTAAGTGTTAAAAGGAAAAAAAAAAAGTACTCTGAGGATTAAGGTTAGCCTGGTCCAAGCTTTGGTATTTTCCACTGACTAAAAAGACTGATGTGTTTCAATTACGTTGTTGGTACATTATGCACGGTAAGATGGAGGGTCAACAAAAGAGAAGCACTTCAACACGCTGGATTGACACAGAGACTGTAACAGTGCGCTCAGCTTTATCAGAGATGATGAGGATGCAAAGGGCAGGACCGGATACAGATCTGCTGGTCATAGGGTCACTATACGCTGTGGTGCACTTGAAGGCACCTAACAACAACAACAACAACAGCATAAGAGTAAGCAAATGTATTCTGCAAGTAATACACAACCAGAATGTTTCTTACAAACTTTATTATTATTATTATTACTATTTTTCCTCCAGGTTTTGATGGCAAGACTCTGCTTCATGTACTTTTGAATTGTTATTGAGGGAACAGTAGAAAAAGAAAGCCATCGTACTTGATGAAGTAGTTGTTGTTGTCATTGGTGTTGACTCAAGCTACTCATGGATGATCCTCTATCAGGTTTCCTGAAGCTCTTCATTGCACAGGAGGAAAGTGCTTCTCTTTCTCCCAAGGAGTAGCTGGCAGATTTGAACAGTATGCCTTTAGATTAGAAGAGCAACTCCTTTTCCAATAGGCTAGTAGAGCTGCTGTGGTAGTTATTGTTGAGTACTGTCGAGTTGGAATTGATTCATAGCTGATCCTCCAGTGGGTTTTTGGAAGCAGTACATTTCACGAGAGGAGACTGCTCATCTTTCTTCCATGAAGCAGCTGATGGATTAAAACCATGTACCTTTGGTACAGGGTCAGGTGAAGAAGATTTTCAACAAGATGAACTGACCCAGTAGCTGCAACAGCAATTATGAATATTGTATGGGATGACGTAGGATTTCATTCTGTTGTACATAGTATCACTGTTTCAGAAGTGCCTCTGTGGCACCTAACAATACTACGTGTATTACCAATAGAGCTGAGAAGTGTTTTTGTTTTGTTGTCATAAACTGAAGTGTTGCAAAATACCATTTTTTAAAAACTCCTAGCCCGGGGTGGGGGCTGGAAAAAAAAAACACAAAAAAAAAACAAAAAAACCTCCTAGCCCAAATTTTAATATTTGCTTAATTCTTATTCCTCCAACATTAATGTTTCTTATTGCTCCTATGTAAAGTGGTATAAAATCTGTGTCAACATACTTAGTTCTTTTCTCCTTGCTTAAATTGCCTCAATTAAGTTTTGTTTTTAAAATGTTATTATGTATAAGTACTGCTGGAGGCTTCTGTTTTAATGAACTATAAAGTCTTGGTTCCCAGATGCTGGTTCATAGACCTCTGCCATTTCTGGTGACAGTTTCACTAGCATACAAAGGAATGACAAAAAGAACAACAGAGGGAGATTTTTGTTTTTCAGTCTGAGGTTATGACCTTCCTATCTTCTCCCCATATATTATTGATACTAAAATACATAGTGTTTTATGAAATGATAATGACAGCATATATTGCTGGACAACTTTATGTAACCTGAGATCTGCATGTGTGCGTTTTTATTTTCTGATCTGCCAAATATATATATTTAGAAAGCTTTTCTAGAGTGTCTTAACCATTCTTTAGGCCTCTTCTAGAATAAACTCATACATTATTTCATCTGTAGGGAGTTATATGAACCCAAAAGTGGCGCCAGTCAGATGGTTCAAATACATTAAAGGCTTGGTGGGAGAAAACCAGGAAAACACCCATACAATTTATAGCCTCAAAATACCTATTGCAGGATCAGCTATGAGCTCATTCTAACTTGACTGCAAGAGCTTTACACACTATTTAATGTCTCTTTCATGGGGACAGGGCAGGAGTTATTGTCAAGAGCAGCACTGCACATCAGAAGGCAAAACGCACTCATGCCTATACAACTACTATTTATTTAGTTATGATTATATTTTAAGTAAGACTTAGTACTAGCACTGTAAATTAGGGCAGCACTTTGTCCACACTTTTTCTTTCCTTTCTTTTCTTTTTTTTTTTTTTACAAACCCTTGAGTCGAGGTAGTTTTCAATATAGCTTATGCATTTGATTGTAAGAAAACACCGTAAAAGTCAGTACCTTGGTGAAAGTAAGTGCCACTGGGATAATAAAATAGAAGTCAGACTGGGATAACAGTTAGCAGAATAAAAGAGTCTTGACTTCAATCCTGAAAGATGAGTTGGTTCTGGAAAAAAATGAAAAACTGTTAAAAAGCAAAGATGTCATTTTGAGGTCAGTGGTGCACCTGACACACAATAGTACTCTCAGTTGCCTCGTATGCACGTGAAAGTTAGACAAGGTAAAAGGTTAACGAAGAATTGTTGTTTTGTACCATCAAGTCTTGGAAAGGTGAAGAGACAGTGGAAGAGGGGAAGACCCTCCCAGCAAGGTGATTTGGCATGGTAACTGCAGGAAAGGGCTTAAATTTATCAGGGACGATGAGGATAGCACAGGTCGCTATGAATCGTAATCGACTTGACGGAATCTAACAACTTCATAGCTGACCCTCCAGCGGGTTTTCAGAGGCAGAAAATCATATGGGAGAAGACTGCTTATCTTTCCGACCGGTGGATTCAAACAGCCTCCCATCTGGTTGGCACCACAACTTCTTACTACCAGGTTAAACCTTTGATTATGCAATTGGTTATGCAATCATTTATGTAAAATTGATTATACATAATTTGATAGATAGATAGATAGATTTAAAATACTATGGACTTCCAGAAGAATGAACACATATTAAAAAGGTCCTTAAAAAGTCAAGAAGATGAGAACTGTCAGATACTTTGGTCTTGTATACAGGAGGGAATAGTCCCCGGAGACTAGCTCTGCTGGTGTAGTCTGGGAGTGAGTGGTTCCGCGCGTCTGTCTCTGGAGGTGGGAATTCACCATCAGCTTCACGATTCTTTCAGGAATTATAGCCTGGAAAGTGAATGGGGGTCGCTATGAGAACAGACTGCATCGGTAAGTAAGAAAGTCAACAAAAAAGAGGAAGAGACAGATTGACACATTGGCCACAACGATTGATTCAAACACAGTAACACGATCATGAAGATAGCAGAGGACCTGAGAGTATTTCTACACAACCACCTACAACAATCAGCCAGAACTGACCTTGACAACATCTACCAAGCTAAGCAAACAGCTCAGCAAAAGAACGTCTCTGCACGCCTTTCCAGCAAGAGAGGATGACACGCCCCAAGTGCTGACCCTTCCACGCAACCAATAAGCGACGAGCCACCCCGGCACGCAAACACGCCCCCTCGTCACGACGACCGCTAACCTTCCCTCCCGACAGCCTCGGTGTCTGTGCCTGCGCAGTCCTCAGGCCCCGCCTCTTACTCCTCTTTCACCCGTCTCGCCATCGGCCAACATGGCGGCTCCCTGTATGATCTGTGGTTCTGCAGTTTTCTACCGGTTCTTTCTGGGCGGAAGAGCTGCTCTTGCCCAGAAACAAAGCATCTGGAAAGCAGCGTGTGCTGAGCTACAAACTGGTGCCAGATTCCAGGTAAGGCCTCGGAGCACTTGACAGTCGTGGGCCTCTTGGGCGAGGAGGGTTTGGAACCTGGAGAGGAAAAGCAAAGACGAGGCTCGCCTTCTTGTGGCGGCTCGCGGGTCCTTAGACTGGGAGCATTGTGTCTTAGATGATTAGACGACTCTGGGGTCTAAGGGTGCAGTAGAGGGCAGTGGTTGAGATAGGCTTGCAGCAGCCCCTCCCGAGGCTGTTGATTGTGTTTCTCGTGTGCAGTGGAGGGGTGTTTGTCTGCATTCGGCCGCGCTGTTGAGGGGTTTCTATGCCTAAGCGCGGAGTTGAGGCTTGTCTGCCTGTGCACCGGGAGGAGAGCTTCCGCTGCTTGCCTGCTGGAATGCACTGCTGGGCATGTTGCGAGAACTGGACTCCCTCACTGGAGAAGATGGATTGAGAAAGTCGGGAGAGTTCATGAGGACGGGAGCTTATAAGATGCCTTCCATGTGTGAGCTTTTGTTTTCTTAAATTTCACTCCAAACTTTGGGGGAACTTGTACATTTCACTTAAGCCCGAGAAATACAAGTTTCTAGTTTAACTGATTCAGTGATAATGGCATTGTCTCCTGTGGGAGAGAAACAAGATTTAAGAAGCTCCTCTCAGTTTGGGATAATTGTGTTTAGACATCTGCGGGATAACCGAATGTCCAGTAGGCCAATGACAGGCAGGTCTCCACTTGGAGATTTGGAAGTCCTCTGTGAAAAGTAATTCGATCACTTAGAAAGGATGTGGTGAATGAAGTGTAGTCAAAAGGACAGGGCCCTGAAAAAGAGAACAAAACAAGGGCGAGGGGCCTCCAAGACCTTCAGAATGAGCATCTAGAGGAATGGGGAAGACAAGACAGTGTATGCTATGGAAAACATGGAAGAAGGATGACAACCAGTATTAAAGACTACAGAGAAGTAAACACTGTATTCTAAAATTATGTTTTAAAAAAGAACACTATCATTTCTCATCTATTTAAAAATTAATTTATCAAAAGTTAACAAATCTATCCACTCATTTATCTTTTATTTTGAGGTTTGTTTGTGTGTGTGTCTGCTTAATGCTTTCTTTTTAAATATAGCTAACATATTTGTCATAAACATTTTCCCCCTGTACAATTCTTACTTGACAAATATCCTGGAAATCTGATTATTTTCCCATGCATCTCTTTTGAGTATATCTCTATTATATGCACATAATTATTTATTGAAGGTGCTATAATATGCAGAATGTTTTTGTTATTGATGCTTAAAATCCACATAGGGAGCTATGGTGGCATAGTCCTTAGGGAATTGTGCTGCTAGCCCGGAAGGTCACACCTCTCTGCCTGTTCGAATCCACTGGCCGCTCTGAAGGAGAAGGATGGACAATCGCCTCACTGTGATTTACAACTTCCAAAAACTTACCGGAAGTTCAGTGTTGGTTCCAACTTGACAGCAATGACTTGACTTTGAATGGCAAGTGGATGAGCAGTTGGCTAACTTTCTCTTCTTCTTGGCCTTAACCTGGTATGTGTTCTTGCTTTTTTTTTTTTAAATTTTATTATTTTTGTGTGAGTGTACCGTCAAATCAGATCTGACTGGTACAGGGGGAGATTGTCCCTCCTTCCCCGGCAGAGCATTGGGTGGATTCGAACCATGTGCCTCTGGGATTGTAGTTGCAGCTCCTTGCCACTAGGCCACCAGAGCTCCCCTTTTGCTTTTATAACCATATATGCTGATGTGTACTCCTACGCATACTTGAAAAATAAGACTCTTAGATCCCCTTCTACATTTTTATTTTCTTATTTGCAATGTTGTTGTTATGTGCTGCCAAGTCAACTGTGACTCATAGAAACCCTGTGTACAACAGCCCTAAACCCTGCTCTATCCTGTGCCAATCTTATTGTGTCTGACACACCTACTCTCATTACCCCAGTTACTGAATCAATCCATCTCATCGAGGGTCTTCCTCTCTCGCACTGTCCCTCCACCCTCCCAAGCGTGATGTCCCTCTCCAATAACTGATCCCACCTTGCAGCACGTCCACAGTGTGTCAGATGAAGCTTCAGAATCCTTGCCTCCAAGGAGCAGCCTGGTCTAACCCTCGCTAGGACAAACCTGTTTGTTCTCCTAGCAGTCTCTGATATATTCAGTACTCTTTTCCAGCACCACAGCTCAAAGGCATTGATTCTTCTATCATCTCTAGTCATTGTCCAGCTTTCTGATGCATAGCAAGTATTTGCAAAGACTGTGGCCTGGACGGCATCAGGTGCACCATAGTCTATAGACAGACATCATTGCTCATCGGTACTTTGGCAAGGTCTCTAACAGCCGACTTTCCCAGTGCAGTTCGTCTTAATTTCCTGGCTGCTGGTACCAGAGTGTTGATTGTGGAGCCAAGCAAACTAAAACTGAACAATCTCAATCTCTTCATCACCTGTCTTTATACTGCCAGTCAGCCCAGTGGTGAGAATCTTTGTTTTCTTGATATTGAGCTTCAATCCATAATGAAGGCTACAGTCCATGACCTTCTGCAGCAAGCATTTCAGCTTCAGATCTGAGAGTAGAAACTCTGTTGGGTTTTTTCTACAGGTATGAGTTTAACAACATTCTATCTTATCTTACCACATGTTGTTGTTGGGTTTTTTCTACAGGTATGAGTTTAACAATTCTATCTTATCTTACTACGTATTGTTGTTGTTGTTGTTGTGTGCCATCGAGTCCCTAAACAGTGCCCTACAGTGCTCTATCCTGTGCCAATCGCACTGCCTCTGACACACCCATTCCGATTACCCCAGTCACTGAATCAATCCATCTCATAGAGCGTCTTCCCCTCTTGCACCGTCCCTCCACCCTCCCAAGCATGATGTCCCTCTCCAAGGACCTGTCCCTCCTTGCAGCATGCCCAAAGTATGTCAGATGAAGCTTCAGAATCCTTGCCTCCAAGGAGTTGCTTGGTTTAACCTTCTCTAGGATGAATCTGTTTGTTTTCTTGGCAGTCCATGGTACATTCAATACTCTTCTTCAGCACCACAGCTCAAAGGCATCAATTCTCCTTCTGTCCTCCCTAGTCATTGTCCAACTCTCTGATGCATAACAAGCGATTGCAAAGACCATGGCCTGTA